TCTGGTGAGATCGACAAACGAATCTCTTCATCATGTACTTTCATTCGAAATGAAGGTCCCCCTAATAAAGCATATCAGTTCACCTTCTCCGTTTGTATTACAAATGAGAACTATCAAAATTTTTCACAATGAACTATTTTGTAGGTATACAAGTAAGGATACAAATTATCTGGCCCCTTGAAAGTGACCTCGAGGCGAATTCAGTGGTAGACTTGTGCATAATCTTCCAGTGTGGGTCTATTTAGATTATTCGAATGCGATTATGTGGCGCTTGAATGCATTTTCGAATATTTTCGCTTGTTAATTTCGTGCTAAGTGTTCTCCTTTATGTTAAACATTTAAAACAATGTAATTTTTCGTTTCAAAACAGAAATTTCTTTCAAATGTTCCGGAGTATGTCCTGGTCAGAAGGGTTGCCACTTGGAAAATAACGTCTGGTGTCCCAACAAATACGCATAATGTGGAAATCTATTGGAATCACTCAAATACACGCGGACTCCCAAAGTATAACAGTGAAATTCTTGAAGGGGACTAGCTAAATTCTTTTTGTCTTCGTGGGGAATATGGGAGAGAAAGTAACCATTGCAGGTTGCATGCAGACAAAAACGCCTGTCAACGCACATTAAAACCCTTGAGAACGATGTGTCATGTATTTAAGAGATGTTGGTCTTTGCCAATCTTCCAGGTGTAATTGAATACTGGACTTTCTGTTTCAAGTTAGTCGAGCAGTAAAAGCAGAAAAACACTGAGTGGAACAAGGAATTGAGGGGCTGAGAAGTTAGCAGAATAGCAGTGTAACTGAAATTTTGCGTAATATTTTCTAATATCTTTTCACAATTTTGAGGCAACTTCATCATATTTACTAACTTTGCAACCAGGTCAATACTAATAAGCTTCCCCTTGTCGAAGCTAATTCTTACCAGCGGCTATTTCTTAGAGCAGAAAATGAGAATACTCATCTTTGTGTACGAAGCCTTCAACTTCGTAATGCATTTCCAAGCAGCACTCAACAAGAATTAAATTAAATTAATAGTGATTCCCGATCTTGCATGGAACTGAAGCTTTTACTGCAAGTTTCTGAGAAAGAGCAGTTATTATTCTGTTTTCCACAGCTTGGCAAACATAGCTGAAGAGGACCCGAGGCTTGGTTAATTATATCAACAGTTACTCGGACAATATGGAAACTGCTCTGTATTCACCACGTTTTCAACTAACTCGGATTTTCGGATGCACAGACTTATACAGGCGGTTTTGTTTTCAGATGACCTCTTTGGCATGTATGCCAAATAGACATTATCATATGAGATCAAAACTTTGAAGCATACTGATCTGGAAAGGTCTATGGGTCCCAAATCTGGGCTAGCTAAATACATGGTTAATACAGAACGCAAAATATAATGGCCCAAAGAACAGCGTTTGGCAAGCTACAAAGAGTAAGATTGGGGAGCCTATAGAAATGAATAAAACAGCAAACAAAAGCGATATATTCACCCTATTTCCTTTTGAGATGGTGAAGGATTGGTAGTTGAATGTTCCCACAATGATATGAGCAGGTTTCATTTTTTCATTGAATTTCACACAGTTTTGCATCCCAAAAGGTATTGTCATCCGGTTTGTACCGCAGTTTTGACCTCACCTAGGTCTCAGCATCCCCATTTTATTAGGCAGGCAAACGAAAATACATATAAACAGTCACCGGCAGAGGTTCATATATGCCAAATTTATTGTCTCTGCAGATTTATAAGGCATTTCGTATAATGAATTATTTGCCTTTATGCTAAAAGGAATGAAATGGGTCGGAATGTACAACGCATGGATAGAATCTGAAGGCCCTTTTTCCAGTAAAAGCCAGGCAATATTGAACATCAGACTTACAGAACCATGGAAGAAAACTGGAGAAAAAAACACGCTTCGTAAAGTTAGCTCCGATGGAAAAAAATAAAATATTAAATTCTCACGTAGAAGAGGCACCCATTCTGAGATCAAGTGATTACAAGCAAGCTAGCTGAAACATTATGTTGGTTAAAAGCCGGCCGTGAAAACTAGGTCCCTCGGCCCAAATGCTTCCATGACAAATGACTAATTTATACTCTGCAAAGATATTGTTCCAGCTATTGACTCAGCGAAACTAAGGCGTAGCAACAAAGGGGGTAGAAGAGTCTACTATGTGTAACTATTTCAGCCGTGAAATCTTTGCCATCCAGATAAATGGACAGTATTTTATTTTAACAAGATGTGAAGCTATACAAATAGTAGAGGGCGTAGGAAAACTTGATTGTTATGTTACCAATTGAGAAGTAATTCAACGATCTTGAAGAGGCGAGACTTAAACGGTATTTAAGGTGAAAAAGAGGAGGATAACTATGAAGCAAGCCATGGAGTTAATCCTTTTGAAGCTTATTCCCTGTGAGCTCCGGACTAGCATGCCCACACGACACAAAACACAGCAAACTCTTGCGACTCATGGCTTATCCGGCAGGCTTATTCTTTTATTTTTTCTATAGATAATTGTTAATTAGATGACCGACAAGAGACATTAGAATTACGATGCAACGCTGACTTGTAAAATACTCCATCGTTGTGATAGGCGAATCGGTCCAAAGATACATGTTCGGAATTCAAGAGCCCAACTCAAAAAGCCTATTTAAAAGTTAAAGTGTTTGGACGTAAAAAACATGTCTTTGTAAAGAGTAATTTCGTGCCTCTATACACAAAAGAGTTATAAATGTAATTGGAAGGTTACAGAACCTTCATCGACAACCGGATCCTACAGATGTGGCATCCAATGGGAATAGGAATAAAATGACCTATTCTCATGAGAACAAAGCAAAGTTGTCCCCCCCAGACACGTCGACTGTGCCTCAGTAATATTTTGAACGAAACTGTAATCATTCCAGATAATGGAGCAGAAAAGAGGTAGAGGGGGTCGAGAAGCGGACTCGATAGACTGTAGATAGCGTCTGGTGTACCGAACCATGCGTCTGGAGGCATGCCTCATGCCAGCCATTAGAAGGGGTGAATGGAAGTGGAGGCGACCGGTGGATGACAGGTTAAGCGCAGGATGAAGTTGGAATTGATGTCGACACAATTCCGCTGGCAAGAGAGTCTCGATGAGGCAAAGAGGTGAGTCCACATACACAGCCTGATCTCTCCTTAGTCTCGTTACTTTGATCTTGTCGTCTCCCTTCATCTTGCTCGACCTTCTCTTCATCCTCCTCATCCTCTCCATCACCGGCCAAAGAAACGGTGGCAGTAATCAGATTACACAACTGCACTAAGCACAATGAGCCCGAAGCTTCGTCCACATCTCCAACAAGGCTTAATGGCCGCGCTCGTAGCCGATACCTCGTTTCTTCGTCCTCCTCATCCAGCTCTAGATCGGAGTAGATGGATCCAGAATTGGGAGTGAAAAGACGTCGCTGGATGTAGCAACTGGCAATCGCTCTCTCACCTGATCCTTGTCGGCCGGCGACTGAGGCAACTGCAGCTGCAGTCGAGGAGGCGGACAGTCTAGCGATAAGTTTTTTGGCCCCACAACCCCCTCCGACACGGCCTGAGACATCGTCGTTCACTTCGTAACTGCGGCTGGCATACCAGACGCGTGGCCGGCATAGGTCGCCGTCGTTGGGGTCTCGATCTTCTTCAACATCGTTCATCTGGTGCTGCCAGGCCTGCAATTCCATGGGGCTGATTGGCGACTTCGGCGCTCTACAAGAGCGCACAGGGGCTGGACTTGATATCTGCCAGGGACTACAAAACCCACTACTGGCAAGAGGCCCCCGCCGAGAAGGCGTTGTAGGACGCAGGATTGGGCTAGAGTTGGGCCGTGAGGAAGCCACTTCTGGGATGTCTGCCGCCGTTCTGTTCAAACAGCCAGCCGACTCTGACTCAGAGCCCGGCCTCCAGAAATCATCTAAAATATGACGATCTGAGGGCACAGAACTGCTTGAGCCGTTCTGCTCTAGGCCTACAGTACTATTGCAGGCCAACGCTGTCAAAGTGGCCATCGTCGGAAAAAAACAAAACCTTGATGCACTGGCACTATTTTTTTCTGTGATCGAGTAAGCCTTGAGAGCAATGATGACTTCGTGTAAACAGGAGATGAGGTTGGATTAAGGCGATGTAGGATGATGAAAGTGAAAATATACGCAACGATGAAAATACCTGTGTAAACTAGCGATAGAAAAGCAAATCAGAAGATCGGAGTTGTTATAACCAATAAGATGAGGGCTAAGCGACCAACAGGCTTAACCAGGAAAAGACCAATCGAGGGAGGACAAAATTGACTTATCAGGTGAGGGAAGAGACAAATCAGAAGCTCGAGATCATATGATATCATATAATATCATATAATATCATATAATATCATATAATATAATATCATATAATATCATATAATATCTTATAATATAATATAATATAATATCATATCATATCATATCACATCATATCATATCA